AGTGAAGGATGGGAATGTGACTGTTGAGAGGAACAGCTGAATACTTTTTTTTAAAGTATTGAGGCTAACAGGATTAAATGGTACTATATGTTACATTAGGATGGTAGATTTGAGTATCTGTGGACCTGAATACTTCTATGTTGGAAATGTCCATAGTTTTAAAAGTATCACATTGAAATAAAAGGAACAGATGAGACTACCTGGGAAAGTAAGTAGAGAAAAAAAGATGAAGTGCTCCAGAACAGAATCTGAGGCAGGGTGGCCAAATTCCTTGAAAAACACAGAATCTTAATACTGACATAGAAAGAAATAGACAATCTAAATAGTCCTATTAGAGAAATAGAATTTGTAATTTTAAAACTTGCCCCAAAGAAAACTTAGGCCCAGACAGCATCACTCATGAATGCTAACAAACAATTAAGAAAGAAATAATAATAACATATACCACTTTCAGAAAATAGGAAGAAGGGAAGACTTTGTAGGTCAAAGTGATGCATGCCTGTAACCCCAGCTGCTCAGTAGGCTGAGGCAGGAGAATCTCAAAGTTTAAAGCCAGCTTGGGTGACATACCAACACCCTGTCTCAAAATAAAATAAAAAGGGCTCGGGTTGTGGGTCAGTGATAGAATGTCTACCTAGTACGCATAAGGCTGTGGGCTTAATCCCCAGGACTCCCCTCTATGTTGCCTAGAAAGAGGGGAAAATTCCATAGCTTGTTTTATGAAGCCAGCATAATCTTAATTCCCAAGAAAATGTCAGATCAATATTTCTCATGTACACAGGGAAATTAGCAAATTGAATATAACAATATAAACATCTTTTAAAATATTTATTTATTTTTAGTTGTAATTGGACACAATATCTCCATTTCATTTGTTTATTTTTATGTGGTGCTGAGGATCGAACCCAGGGCCTCGTGTGTGCTAGGCTAGTACTCTACTGCTGAGCCACAACCCCAGCCCCTAAACATCTTTAAATCATGGAAAAAAGGTAATGTTTCTCAAGAATGGTTTACTATTGTTAAAAGTAAATTAAGATAATATACCACATTAATGGATAAGAAAGGGCATTTGATGAAAATCAACATTCATGATAAAAATTCTTAGCAAGTTAGTAATAAAAGAGAACTTCCTGAACCTGACTGTGAGTATGCAAAGACGGAATGAAATGGGGGAAATTGTGGAGTAAGTTGGGAGGAAGAAGCCAAGATACAAGAAGAAAACTCAGAGAGTAGAGTCTGATGCCAAGAGAACAGAATGGTTCAAGGAAGAAACGTGCCACCAATTGCATATCGCCGAGGCTGAGGAAGATGAGGACAGGGGACACTTCTGCAGAGGTCACTGTGGCCAGAAAGACTCACTACATGAGGTACTCCACATTATACTTCCCATAATGCTGTTCTTGGTGTGTCTTAGAAGTACTTCACACATCTTCATTCAAGAACAAAGCAAGCCAACAAACTAACAAATTAATAGGGCAGAGTTGGCTACATTTTTCATAGGCCTACTGCCTGATTTTCAACCTAAAATTCCAGTGTTTCTATTTAATAGAGTAGAAAATCAAGGGTTTAGAATAAAACTGGTGTTCATTGACCATTTATTGATGAATTAATCAATACACATTTCAGATCCTGTTTGGCAGTCCCAGATTAGATATTCCTGCCCTCTTTAGAGTGAGGATCATTAAGCTCAACTTGAGTTCAAGTCCAAGTGATTCAAGGACTTGTCCAGACACTGGGTAGGATTTGAAAATGTCAGGGAAGTTGAATAAGTCTTCTTTCATATGGTTGACAGTTAAACTGAGGTGAGGTTTTTTGTTTTTTTTTTCCTTTTTTCTTTTCCCCACCCCCTTTCCACATCACTTAAAAACAGCCTGACCAAGTTTGCTGGTTACATATGGAATGCTCTGACTTAACATGAAGTATGAAAATTAGCAAGAAATTAATTGCAATGTAACTTAAAAGGACATCTCCAAAGGACAGCTTGTCATCTTAAAACAGAACAACTAAATCGATGAACAGAAAACAAAAAACCTAGGAGTCTGCTGATCACATAGCCTAAGATACCTTAAACCAAATAACAAATAGTGACTTCAAGAATAAGGCCCAGATCCAGGCTGAGCACAGACACTATGAACTGTAAACAAGAATATGCAGTCAAGCTGCTTCTCAGAGGGCAGCTTTGTGCAGCAGACACCACGCAGAAGAGAGCGGGGATTCATTTATTAAATGGTAGTGAATCACTTTCCTGAGCAGCTCAGAGTAAATTAGATCAGTATAAATAATAATTACAGCTATCACTTAATAAAGGATTATGTGCTAAATATAAGCACCATACGTGCACCATCTCATTTAACCCTTCCAACAACCCTAGAGGGAGGAATTATTGTTATCATTATTTTCCTCTTTCCTTTTCATTCCTTTCTTCTTCTCTTTCTTTCTTTTTTCTTTTTCTTTTTTTTCATGCTGGGGATCAAGCGCCTTGCACATGCTAGACAGCATTCTACTACTGAGCTACAGCCCTGGTCCATCCCTATTTTTAAAATGCGCAAAGTGGGATTCAGAAACACTAAATGACTAAACAGGATCACACAGCGGGAAAGTGGTATAACACCATTCAAAAAATGTCCAATTCCTGGGTCCAGCCTGACTGTGAACTTCAGCGATGGCAGGAAGACACCATTTAACACTTGTCTTTTGAGTCTGAGCTGCCTGGAAGGATCCAGCTCCTCTGGGCCTAGGGCTCTATCATGAGCTTCTTCTGCAGCATCTCATCTCATTCAAAGGAATTAGAATCCCACATATAAACCCTCAACCTTCCCCGTTCCCTATCATCAATGCTTATGCTTTGCTGCAAATACTTAACCTTCAACAATTTGCCTGCACTCACTAATTGTTCAAAATAAGTTGGCATAAGTAATAATAACAATAACAGCAAGACAAATCTAGTTGAAGGATCACTGTTAGTTAAGGAACTGAATTTTAAGGGACTAGGGGCGTGGCTTAGCAATAGTGTATTTGCCTAGCATCTGCAAGGCCCTAGGTTCCATCTCCAGTCAAGGAAGGATGGAAGAAAGAAAGGAACAAAGGGAGGGAAGGGAGGAAGGAAGGAAGGAAGGAAGGAAGGAAGGAAGGAAGGAAGGAAGGAAGGAAGGAAGGAAGAAAAGAAATTTTATTTTAGTAAAAAAGCCAATTCATTCTGACCTGTCTCTTTCTAACAAACCACAGAAATAATGGCAAGCAATATGAGGGAAAAATAACATGTGATATAACCATAAATCTTTTGACCATCTGAGACAGAATGCAAATCTCTAAGTTTGGCAGTATATAGCTATTAACTCCTCGACAGACACATCACAACTTGACCTCATTTTTAAGGAATACTTCTTGCTGTCAATTTTAGTTCAGCAAAAACCTTCAAACTAATTATGACATAAGATGCACTTACCTCTCTAAAGAAAAAAAGCTTTATAAAAAAACTGGGAGGTGGCAGATAACACCTGTATAGACCCTGACAAGTTAATAACAGCAAACACCAGTGGAGAGCCAGTAAATGTTGAACAACTGGCTTTCAGGGGGAAAAGCACTCATTTGTAGATTTGCTGATTTCCAAGGTGTAAATACTCCCACCATAGTGGATTTCAAACTACCCAGATGACTAAAAACAAAATCGAATAGGGATGTATACTACCAGCTTTCAGGATCTGATGTGAGTAGGATCCTGCCCACAGATGGCAACTGCCAATATTTATTGGTAACATACTGTGGTCCCTAGTCATGGCCAATAGGGCAGGTACAATTTTATCCTCATTTTAAAGATGAGAGAAAACTAGGTCTTGAAGAGGTTAATTAACTAGTCAAAGTTTGCACTGGCATTTGAATCCTGGGGGTCTATTTCAATGGTCCAAGCTCTCAGCTCCTCCTCCATCTTGCCTCTTTCCATAGGTGGTTAAAAGATAATTTGGTTACTATCACCCCATCTTATAGTTGATGTCTTGCTAAAGAGTAAAGAGCAGGTTCTAGGCTAGTGGGCAGTGGGGTAAATAGGACCGACCTACATCAGCCACAGAAGGGCGTTTGTCCTCCTCTCTCCTGATAAATTTCACCTTGCCCTTTAAGATTCATGTCAGAAGTTTCCTCTTTATCAGAGCTTTCCCAATTCCCCAAATAATATTTTCCAAATATATTTTCTTATAAAATTTTATTTTTTCCCATTATAAAATAAATGCTTGCTCATTAGAGAATGTAAAAACATCTAACATAAAGGGAAAAATCTCTCTCGTGGCCCCATATGCCATTCACAGCATGCTCTAGTTTGCATCTTAAATGTCACCCAAAGGCCCATATATTAGTGGTATTGGGAGCTGATGGAACCTTTAAGAGGTAGGGCCTAGTGAGAGGTCTTCAGGGGCTGAGGGTGTTCCCTTGAAGGGGACAGTGAGACCCAGACCCTTTCCTTCCTATGTTTCACTTCCTGGCCCATGAGATGAACCATGCTGTGCCATGTGCTGCCCACCATTTGCCATCTGCAGCAGAGGTCTAAAAGCAGTGGGTCCACCTGATGGTAAGAACGAAACTCTAAAGTCACGACCAAAATAAACCTTTTCTTCTCTATAAGTTGATGATCTCAGATATTTGTCAAAGTGCTAGAAAATTGACTACACACAGGATTTGATTCATTTTTCTATTGTGGGTTTCATTCCCCTATATAATGATTATTTATGGATGGGGTGACTCCTTCTGGGAAGACATGAGGGTTACCCACATTTGTATCTGCACCCTTAGCGCAACATGCAATTCATGGCTGTCTTCCCAATTAATGTAGGTGCTTGATTATGATGTCTTCTATGCATAAAAGGAAACACCAAGCTTTTCAATTCAATCCTCAAAGTCATTCTAATCATAACTAAAGTTGGCTGTCATCATTTATCTTGAGCACATGCCACTACACTCTTGTCCTGAGTGGGCAGAAGAGGGCTGTCTCAGCAGGCATCTTTCCTTACCTGCATTCCTCTCATCTTCTGGAACCGTGCGATGGTGTCACTGATAGTGTAGACACGCACGTGGCCCATATGCAGCTTGCCAGAAGGATAAGGGAACATGGAAAGCACATAAAACTTGGGCTTTGACTTCTAGGAAAGAATAACAAAGGAGGACAATGAGTATTTATTAAGCATTTTCTGGGAACTCTGCATGCAATAATACTTTGGCACTTTATTCAAGGTATCAATTTAACATTTAAAAAATTTCCTTTGAATAACTCTTCTCGTTATGTAAATTGACAAAAACATTAAAAACCAAAATTCAAAGCCCTGGTTTAAGCTAAAAAATGTCCAAAATAACACTGAACAACCTCAAAGTACTAATTACCTGTATATATTTTTAATTTTGTTTTTTCTCTTCTAAAAACTTCTTTTTTTTTTAAGACAGCTTCTATCTAGGTCATAAAGAACTGTTTTTCCAAATGAAGCTCTAACATATATATCCATATGATTCAAGGAAACAATAGGTGAATTACACAGATGAGACATCTCTAAAAATGGAGCCCCTTCCTAAATTCCCTTTGGCTGCATTCAACATTAAGAGCAGGATCATGAATACCAGTTTGGATCCTGAATTTCCCCACTGTATTGTGAGCTTATCTTTCAATAGAAAAAAATTGAAGTAGAAAGTCATGAGAAAAATCTTAACCAACAAAGGCTAAAGGTTGCTATTTTCCAGGGATGACAGACAGAATTATGGGACTCTCCAGCTTCCAAAGCACCAAGATCATGAGAAACACAGGAAATCTGTACATTGGCCTAAACAGAGTGAAGACAGAGCAGGTGGTTTTTACTGGGTCACTGACTTTTGGTACCTGGGCTATTGCATTGGTAAAATGGTAAATGTTGTCAAGGATCTGTACACATGAGGAAAAAACGCTCCAAGGGAAAGGTGGGAGTCACTGAATTGATTCTTCTTAGGGGAACCTTCTTAGGGGAACCTGTTGTTCAAGGGCAAATACTGTGGTTTCATTTTTGTTTGTTTGTTTGTGTCTGTGTGTCCTCTGGATGGAAACTGGGGCCCTGTGCATACTAGGCAAGTGCTCCACCACTGAGTTCCACCCCAGCCCAAGGACAGATTTAATCATCTTTCTCCACCTCTCCAGCCTCCCAACAGGAGTTTAATAACCATTGGATAAATGTTTTGTTGGCCTCTGTGGGAACACTTTTTACCAAAGGGCATTTTCCCCCAGAAAAACTTTACAAATCCTGTCTGGGTAATGGGAGGCTTTCCTTAAACCCTCCCAGGGTGTGTGTTAGGGGTGGGAGGTCCCCAGACAAAAGGAAAAGCAACAGGAACTGCTTCTGTTGGTCACTGAAGGGGGCCATCTGCTGCCACCTCTGTTGGGTTTCTCTCTGCCTTCTAGGTCTCCCTTTTGGTCCTTAGTCTCTTCCTAGAGGATTGCAAGACTTCTTTGAGGCTTTGTTTTCCCCAAAGTAATAGAAACAAAGGAAAAACAGAATATTCATAACCTTTCTTGTGTACAGGTATAGGAGAATGGTTTTAAAATATTGTTTGCCAAGCACATGCATAACTGACAACGGACAGAGCCAACTGAACTCAGGTGAGTAGAAGACACAAGAAATCAGGCTCTTGCCAAGTTCTTGTCTTTCCTTTTTTTTCTATTTTTGGTGGCACTGGGGGTTGAACCCAGGGGCATGCTACCCTCCAGCTTCATCCTCGGCCCTTTCTCCATTTTTTGCAGTTCTGGAGATAAAATCCAAGGGCAATTCACCCCTGAGCTACATCCCCAGTCCAGTTTATTTAAGGCATTTTATGGTTTAGATATGAGGTGTCCCCTAAAAGCTCATGTGTGAGACAATGCAAGAATTTTCAGAAGTGAAATGATTGGGTGGCGAGAGCCTTAACTTAATCACTGGATTAATCCACTAAGAGATAACTGCAGGCAGAAAGGGTGTGGTTAGGGGAGGTAGGTCACTGCAGGTGTGACTTTGGGGTTTACATTTTGTTCCTGGTGAGCAAGAGCTCTCTGTTTCCTTGTTGCCATGTCCTGAACTGCTTTTCTCTTCCATGCCTCAACTCAGGCACAGAGCTATGGAGTCAGCCACCAATGGACAGAACCTCTGAAACCACGAGTCCCAAATAACTTTCCCTCCTCTACATTGTTTTTGTCAGGTCTCTTAGTCACAGCAACAAAAAAGCTAACTAAAACAAACAGGATCTCACTAAATTGCTGAGGCTGCCCTCAAATTTGGGATCCTCCTGCCTCAGCCTCCCTAGAGACTGGGATCAGCTAGGATTGCAGGTATGCACCACAGCACCCAGTTCTTGCCAAGTTCTTTGACTTCCTTCAACAAAGAAGGCAAAAAACTTTAACAGACGTGCTAATATGTGGAAAAAACAACTAAAATGGAACATCTCCTTGCACTGACTATCCTTTAGAAGTTACCAAGGTAAGGAATACTGCCTGGAGGAAGAGGAGGAAGAGAACAAATAAGGCATCTGGAAAATCTAGAAAATCATCTAAAACTGCTGAAATGACAACCAAACGGGGTGGTAAGCAGGATACAGGTCATGCCCTTTCATTACAAAAAACTCAGGAGTGTGAGAGCTGAGATTCAGGGGTCAGTGGGAATTCAGGTATTAAGAAGGGGAGTGGGGCTGGGGATGTGGCTCAGGGGTGGAGCGTGTGCCTATCACACAGAGCCCCAGGTTTCTATCCACGGCACCAGGCAAACATAACAGGTGACAGAAAATCCTCTCAGCTTATAAACAAGTCCCTCAAGGGAGAGGCAACAACTCATTCTTTAACTTAATGCAAAAATCAAAGCAAGAAAACTCTTCATTTTTTCAAAAATTTTTTTTTTTTTTTTTGGTACTGGAGATTGAACTCAGGAACACTCGACCCCTGAACCACATCCCCAGCCCTATTTTGTATTTTTATTTAGGGACAGGGTCTCATTGAGTTGCTTAGTGCCTCACTTTTGTTGAGGCTGGCTTATTAAACTCATAATCCTCCTGCCTCAGCCTCCTCAGCCACTGGGATTACAGGTATACGCCACCACACCTGGCTTAAAATCTTATTCTTTCCTGCAATGGATGAGGCCTATTGTCTTTCAATTTTTAGGGATATGGGAAAATACCTTGTTAGAGTTCTTTGGGAATGAAAGAAATAGAATGTTATTTGTTGACATATGCTATTTCTAGTTTTTCCTAAAACATTTTCCTTATTTATAATTACCTTATTTTATTATACTAATATTTACTTTGTTACATTACCCTTATTTAACAATCTTGCCTCAAACATTTTCCATATACATCTTCTTCTCTAGCATCTCCTGTTTGTTCAATGAAGATTTAATTAGTAGCAAAATCAAACTAAGTCAAACTCCAAACTTATAAAAGATGTACAGAGAAGGATTGCTAGCAAGTCTTTAATATTCATAAATATTTTTGTTTATTGCAATAAATGTATTCAGCCTACTGCCTGCCTCTCTGCCTTTTGCTTTTCTATTTGAATTAAGTCATTTTCCTCTATGACAATGAAATGAGTTCTATCATCTGGGGGTGGAAAGGAGAAGTTATGGGGCTTGGTTATGATTAAGCAGAAATCTGATTGAAAGGGAAATTTTCAAAATTATATAAAAGTCTAAAAATTTAAGCCTTTAAGAGAAATTAAGATTATAAGCATTGGGGAGAGGAGGATTTTTATAACTGGGTCCTATTATTTTTGTCAGCTTCTGACTTCAAAAGATGACGTCTGCCTCTGTGTGGCTCATGCTCTGAAGCTATAGCTAAGACTAGAGGGTGGCAGAATCAAAGGAGCACCCCACAGGAGTGCAGGGCCCTAGCTGTTATCCTAGCTTAGCTACCAGCTGTAAGGCCTTAGACAAATTCCTGTGCCTTTCTGGGCTCAGTTTGTTACCTGTTAATCAAAAGAGAGGCAAAAGAAAGTTCCAAGCAGCTGGGTGCGGTAGCACATGCTTGTAATCCCAGGCTGAGGCAGGAGGATCACAAGTTCAAAGCCAGCCTCAGCAACTTAGTGAGGCCCTAAGCAACTCAATGAGACCTTGTCTCAAAATAAAATATAAAACAGGCTGGGGATGTGGCTCAGTGGTTAAGCACCCCTGGGTTCAATCTCTGGTACCAAAAAGAAAAAAGAAAAAGAAAGAAAGTTCTAAGTAAAAGCACAAACTCAGGAATGCAACAGGCCTGGGTTGGAATCCTGGCCCTGCCATAGGCTAGCTGTGCATCTTGGCAAATGACAACTGAGCTTTGGCTCTCTTACTCCCCAAATGAGAAGAACAATACCTACGCTCAGGGTTGTTCCAGGATTAAAATGAAATAATTGATGGAAAGATGGCACCTGGCACATGGTAAAGAGCTCATCAAATGGCAATTCTTTTTTAAATGGTGATTAGGATGAGATGATAAGACATCTGACTCACTGGGGTGGATTTCAAATGTACCCAATACCACAAGGAGACTGACTATATATAAATGCTTCAAAAATCCCCCAGCACCCAATCAGAGTCTCAGCTCCTGATAAAGATAAACTACATGTTCTTGTATCTTTTATTTATATAACACTTCAGTTTGTAAAATGTGGTCAGACACATTTTCTCATTTCATTTTCAAAACAATTCTGTGAGATAAACAATGCAAAGAGCTTGAGAATCAAGGAGGTAAAATGATAGCCCTAGATCATAAGAAATCACTTCTTGGGATGTGCAGTGTGACAACCCCTCAGGTCCTCACTGGGTGCGCTCTCTACTTCCCTCTTCCTGACATGGTACCCACAGGGTCCCACACAATATCCTTTAGGCCATTTCCCACAATATCAAACCATAGTTTATTTTCTTCCATTTAATATTTTTTAAAAATTATATGCTTAAGATGAATGAGACGTCACAAAGGCAGTAAGCTACAACTTCAAAATGTTTAGAAGTCACTAAATTATAATCTAAACTGAAACGGAAAAAAAAAAGTAAATCTTATTTTACTTGTTCAGAACTAAACTGCTCCCTAGAGTCTAAAACACACTTAGTTATGTTAGTCTGGTCATGTTGACCCAAAAGCTTTTCACTTCCTAATGAGGTAAAAGTCAAGCTTTTACTGTAAAATAATGCATTAAATTCAAGCCTATCTTTTTATCATTTCATTTTGTTATATGCTACACCTCTCTTGATTTTAGATTTTCTTCCTACCCAGTGCCAAAATCATCTATCAGGTGAACACAGTAGCTCCCCTCCTCAAGTCCGTTTTTCTTAAGCATCCATCTCACAAGGAGGAGTGTGACAGGGTGGGAACCAGGTGGTGGGAAAGCCAAGTTCATGGAGTGTGCCTGGCATAGCCACATTCAACGGCTTGCCTGGGACCTAATCACTAATTCAACACAGCAGGACTATTTGACTATTAATAATACAAAGGGACAGTCAGAATTTAAGAGTAAAACTCTTACAGTGCATTTCTCTGATCAGATTGGGGTTGTAGCTTAGTGGTAGAGCACTTGCCTCGCTTACATGAGGGAATGGGTGTGATCCTCAGCACCACTTAAAAATAAATAAATAAACATATTGTGTCCATCTACAACTAAATAATAATAATAAACCCTTAAATATATCATGTAACAAATCATTATCTCCCATTTGTCATTCTGACCAATATCAAGAAGAAAGGATCAATATGTCTAAGACTCCTTCCCAATGGGCTGGCCTCCCAGAGGAGGAGCAAAGAGCTCTCCATGGAAATCAGCCATTGCCAAGTACTTAACACAACCAATTCTGGCAGAGTATCAAGTTGGTACATGTGGACCAGAAGCCAAGGGTCCACTAACTCTTTGACCGCTTCTGCAAGATGGCACATGCCTGTAATCCCTCACAGATTACAGGAAGGCAATGGTGCCTCCTCCCTCCCTTCTCTCTGCCAGCCAAAGATCTGTCCAGCAGCCTTCACTTGCCTTCCAGATCACATAGGAAGAAGGCTGGGACCCTCCCCACCCAAACCATGATGAAGTGAGAGAACAGGATTGGAGGCCAAGGTCATGCCAGGGGAGGGGCAGATCCTGTTCAACACGTGCTCCTTTGAGGGGTCCAGGCTCCTCTTCTGGAGCCTTACATCTGGCTGCTAGATCTCTGTGTGCTGCCCACAAAGAACCACGAAGGACCCCAAACCTGTTGATGCTCTTGTTTTGATGAGTTTCCCCTGACAAATGCTACTCCCGAATGCCTGGTGTGGTGCTGTCTGCCATGCACCTTGTGGACAATATTGCCCCGTACACACGCACACGCTGGGAACTCTTCTAAGCATTATCCTTGGTTCATCTCATTCATTCCTCACATTCCACCCAGCAAGCAGGTGAACACTGCTGCTTGTTTTAGATAAGAACACAGAAGCCAGGCAGTCTGACCATAGAATCCAAGTCCCTATGCCCTCTGCTTTATGCCCCCAGCCCAGTACTCACATCAGCTTCTGAAATTTTGGAGGCCTGTTCTTTTATTCGTTGATGCCACCATTCCTCAACATCCTTTCTTGTCTGCAATGTATACTCTTTCGTCCATTTCCCAGTGGCACTGTAAATACTTCTGGTACATTCTGGAATTACTCGCCTTTCCCATTTGATGATGTCTGGCCCACCCTTTAGCTGCCTTCTCAGAAGAGAAGCATATAAACCCAGTCTCTGCCAAGCAGGAGCCATTCTTCAGAACACAGGAAGGCACTGAAAAAGAGGACAGAAGACAAGCTCACAAGCTGCCTAGAACCTTCCCAAAGGATCTTCTTTCCTATCAGCACAGCCCTGTGTTTCCTGCCTGCTCACTTGCTTTCTCCTCTTCTTCTTCATTTGTTTTTTCCCGAAAAGAATATTTTAGAAGTTCAATTCAGCTCATACAGATTCCTGAATGGAAAATATAAAAGTGATTCATGCCCCCAAACACCAAAGACACAAATAACCTATAGGAAGAAGGGAGCCTGCTGCCTGGGCCAGCTCCTGCACAACCTCACAGATTACAGATTACAGGAAGGCAATGGTGCCTCCTCCCTCCCTTCCCTCTCTGCCAGCCCAAGATCTGTCCAGCAGGCTTCACTTGCCTCCTCTCCTGGCCTCAGCAGAACTCTAAGCACATCTGCCTTGGCCCAAGGCTCAAAGAGCAGAAGAGATCTGAACACAAATCTAGAAGAAGCAGAGATTCTAAGCTATTTATAGCATTTTTTTTTCATACATATTCTTCTTCTTCTTCTTTTTTTTTAGTTGTAGTTGGACACAATACCTTTATTTCACTTATTTATTTTTTTATGTGGTGATGAGGATCAAACCCAGGGTCCCGCACATGCAAGGCAAGCACTCTACCACTGAGCCACAACCCCAGCCCCTTCATACATATTCTAAGTTAAATAGACTTTATTACCAGGAATCCTCATTATTTAGAAAATTATTTATTCATTTGATTCTTCATTCATTTACCAAATATTTATTTATTCAGTGCCTATGGACCTAATGGATACAGCTGGGAACAACTTCAACAACAAAAAAATAGTCCCAGGCTGCGGGTGCAGCTCAGTGGCGGAGCATGTGCTTAGCTTGCAGGAGGACTTAGGTTCAACCCTCAGCATGGCAAAAAAAACCAAAAGCAAATGAAGTCCTTTCTTTCAGGGCAATTATATACTGGAAAAGAAACCAACAAATAAACATAATGTGTCGCAGTGGGGAGTACTATGTAACATTTTAGAATACAACCCATATATTGGACCCACCAGAATATGTTTGTAATTCAAAATTTAACTTTAGTGTGTCACTGGTTTCCTCCATAAGCAAATTCTGGAAATGACCTCATTGAAGAAGTTTCTTTCTGTTTTTACTGCTGTTTAAAGGGTTGAGGTACAATTTCATCGAATATTTAAGATGGACCAGTAAATATCCTACACTTTCTGCCTTCTTGCATAATAGCTTTGGAGAGCTGCTAGGGTGAGGGCGGGGAAAAACGACAGACGAAAATAGGTCTTAACAAAAGAAAAACAAAGTTGGTACTCCAAACTGATGTTAATTCTGATTCTCTCAAAATTCTTTCCATAGCTTCTAGAGTTTGGCCTGTTCCACAAAGATACTGGATCACAAATGTTGCCAGGAGGGTCATTAAAGGTTTATAAAAGTGGGATTCACACTCACATAAAATGGCATCGCAGTGTTGGCACTTTACCAGTTTATCTGCCAAAGCTCTTGACATACCAATTCTCACTGCATTTAACACCTCTTGCTTTTTTAGGGATGAAATCAAAGACAGACTGAAAAAAATTCTCCCTATCAACTGGGTTTGACTATATTACAATATGTAGATGGGACTATAGGCATTAGGGTGAACCACATGAAACTGGTTAAATATTAGCAATTCTATATAACCAACCTAATGTACATAGACTTTAATGACATCTGTTACATTTTATTTTTAGGGTTTAGGTTTCTATATAATTAGAATTATCTAGAGGCGTCATAGAGTTTATGGTTTTCTTGCTAAGTCAGCATTTCCATACTTTCGTAAGTCAAACAATGTCTGTTTAACAGAAGGCACATAGATACCTGTCTTTTATGTAAGGAGAGTGTTCTGGGCTGTCCTCACAAACAGAAAGAATGAAAAGTAACAAAATCATAAAAACACAAACTGACCTGAACTGCAATCTGACAAGGTTTTGGTTTCATTGCTGGTTAGCCATCCTGATGAATGAAATATGAGAATAGACAGATCACCAATAGGAGTAACATGAAGGGCATTCCTTCACTCAAAATTCTAATCCTGTCTCTAGAACTTACTTATTCTATACAACAAATCATAAGCAATACAGAGTACAACTCCCTGTCTACATAAGAATAAACTTTATATAATACCGGCTCCCTAATAACCTCTCCTTTGCATAAATCAATGGACCAAAGAATCCTGAAACATAACTGGGTATATAAATGAATTTGAAGTTTATAAAGAAAAAAGCACAAACTGATTAGAAAATGAAAGGTTATTCAATGAATGGGGGCAACTTTCGAACTGGAGCGCCACCTCAAATTATACACTGGGGTAAATCCCAGATAAAGAATGTTTTTCTTAAACATAAAACAAGATAAAAACAGATGAGTATTTAATAAACTTTTACAAGGCACACAATGTTCTATCCTGATCATAAAAACAATGGAAAATTTCACAAAGGAAAATATTAATAAACATAGCTCTAAAAATGTAATAATGTCTGTATATCAAAATGTCATGAGCCAGGCACAGTGGTGCACACCTGTCATCCCAGCAGCTCAGGAGATTAAGGCAGGAGGATCTCAAGTTGGAGGCCAGGCTGGACAACTTAGTGAGATTTAGTCTGAAAGTGAAAAATAAAAAGGGTTGGGAGTATAGCTCAGAGGCAGAGCACTCCTGGATTTAATTCCTAGTACCAAAAAAAAAAAAAAAAAAAAAAAAAAAAATCTGAACAAAATTACTAGAGGGCAAACAATTCTGAAAGACCAAAACTACAATCATACAAGGTTATCTAACACTACAAAAAGTTCACATGAGAAGAGAAACACTCAAAACCTAATGTTAAAAAAGGGCAAAGGTATGGGCTGGAGGTATAGCTCAGTAGTAGAACAACTGCTGAGCATGCCCAAGGTCCTGAATTTGATACCTCACCACACACACACACACACACACACACACACACACACACACACTTTTAAGAATAAAAGTCCAAGGGATAGGGGTATGGTTCAGTGGTAGAGCACCCCCCCTCAGCATTTGTGAGGCCCTGGGGTCAATACCCAGCACTAAAGAACAAAGATGCACAGGAAATACTGTTTAAGTTTTGGGGCTGGGGAAGTAGCTCAGTGTTATGGTGTTTGCCTAGCATATGCCTGGCTCTGGCTTCCATCCCCAGCATGCAAAAATAAAGTCACACCCTTTATCTTAGAGGTCCCCATACCATTCTCAGATTATTACACACTACCAGGACTCACTAGGAACCAGTCTGTACTCATGGCTCTGATTTTTACAGAACTTCCTGGGTCTCTGCCTTATTCCCTTCCTTTACTTCCCAGGCCCTGTTCTAGGTCATTTCAAATATCTCTCCATGGAAGGCCTAATGGGTACTGCCTCTTCCTGATATCAAGGAGCCACAATTGTATCAGAGAACTATGTGGATACAATGAATGTGAAAGGTGTAGCTCATGTTCTATGCTTATGTTCAAATTGGCTTTTATCTTCCCTAACTCTAGCTCATCCAGTTCCTTCACTTGTTTGTGATCTTGTCTTCTCCCTCCTTTCAAAGCAACAATTCCTGCTACTCCATCCTTCTCAGTCCTGACCTCATCTAACTTGGAGCTTGAGGTTGAAGTTTCTGAGAATAGAAGCGATCTGAGAACTGTACTCAAAATAATGATCACACAGACAGAGAAACCTAGAAGAGTAGAAGATAAAAAGAAACAGCCACATGGGAGAATTACAGGAAGGCATTTCTTTACACCCAAAATAAAGTGCAAGCAAGTCTCTGGGAAAATTCCTCTTAATGAAACTAAGTTTTAAAAAGACATGCTTGTGTTTTGCAGCTAGTTCCCTGTGTGACCTCAGGCAACTTGTTTCCTATCTGGAACTTCATCTTCCCTCTCTATAAGCTAAAGATGTGGACCCAGATGATTTTTAAGGAGCTTCAGGTTCTAACATGCTGTGGCAATGACCTGTGAGCCCCAAAGATGCAATGAATTATCTCTGACTGGATCCAAGCCCCAATCCGGTCCAGAGGTAAAGAGCCAGGAATGAACCAAGGTAGAGAAGCTGCAGAGAGAGGAATTTCGAGTATATAACCATGTGAAGATGTGCGTTTTCTCTGGGAAGGGGTCCAGAGCAACGGGATCCAAGGCTTAAAGCGTCAGAAGACTAGGATCTCAAAGACTTTTCCAGTTCGGAAACTGCAAGGTTTCAGGACCACGTAACCCAGCCCCCACCTTTCCTTCTTGCCCCAGCAAAACGGAATCTCCCGATCCGGGATGAGAATATCAATCGGGCCTGTCTCTCGTCCCGCTGAGCTCCGGCAGGGATTTACCTGCTCACAGGCTCTGGCCTGCAGCTCCTCTATGCCTCGTTTCTCAAACCTTTAGACACACACGGCCCCGTCAGTCACCATGGGCGCCGCCATCTTGGCAGAACAACAACTTTATCGGTCGAGGCCGTCGCAGACACGGACAGGCGGGCGGGGCCTGGGACAAGGAGCTTGGCCTGTGGGCGGCTCCCAGCAGCATGCGGGCGGGGCGTCTGGCGGTTGCCCCGCCCACCGGCCGTGCCTCTTGTTTGCGGGTCAAATTATTACAATGTAGCCGGGGCCGGAAGATCACCAAGTTCCAAACCTGTTTGGGCAGTTTAATGAGACCCTGTCTCAAAAAAATAAAAAGGACTGGGGTGTAGAATGCTAGAGGACTCAATGATAGAGGGCGATTGGGTTCAATCCCCAGTTCCAGGGGGGCAATGCAGCAGATGGCGTGAGAATCCTTAGGTTAGTGACACCAGGATAAACAAAGCATCAGGTGGCGAAAAGCGCTGGGATAATCTAGAGACCTGGGTTAAAACTCTAGTTTAGCAACAACCGTCTACTGGACTTGGGCAGGTCTCCACCTCCTGATCCCGGAGGCATCTTCTTCTTCAGTATTCTCTGATCTTCTAATCCTGGGAGGGGAATTGCTGGCCAAAACCAGATTAGGGGCAAAATACTTTTCTCACCCAGTAAATGGGAGGGGAGGTGTGAAAGCAGGATACCTGACCAACCATCTTCCTCTGGAGAAATTATCGTATCCAAACCCACCAAGCTACTGCATGCACACCAGCAAATATTTCTTGCTTGTAATAAATCAATGAGTGATGAATTGCCAAGAACCGATGGTGTGAAAGTATACTTTTCAAAAAGGAAAAAATCTGTTGAAAGGAGAATTTGGAAACCGAAAACACACACGCGCACACACACACACACACACACACACACACACACACACATACACACTGGCAATCAGGGATACTGAAATTAAGTTGCTAATCATGCAAAATGGTTGATATCCTATAGTTCAAGAAAAAAAAAATAATGTTCCAGAACCATCTTTTTCTGAAATCATTTGTACCTTTATCAGCCAAAATTCATCCCATTACTATTATTATTATTATTATACTGGGGATTGAATTCAAGGGCACTCAACCACTGAGCCACATCCCCAGCCCTATTTTTGTATTCTATTTTGAGACAGGGTCTCACTGAGTTGCTTAGGGCCAAGCAATTGTTGAGGCTGGCTTTGAACTTGCAATCTTCCTGCCTGAGTCTCCCCAGCCGCTCTGCCACCATGCCTAACCTCACCTTACACTATTTTTTTTTTCCTTTTAATTAGGTACATATGACAGTAGAATGCATTTTGATTCATTGTACACACTTCACTTTTGCTGAGGCTGGCTTTGAACTCACGATCCTCCTGACTAGGCCTCCAGAGCTGCTGGGATTACAGGAGTGTGCCACCCCTATGGGCTCATTATTATCTATATTCTATATCTTTGCTTCTATTCTTAAAATGAACAATAGTCATTAGGAAGTCAAGAAAAAGATAGTTTCTTTTTGTAGTCAAAGACTTCAACCTACACTCCAGCCAAGGGATACACAGTCATCTCTTTTGCCCCTTTCCAGGCTTATCAAGTTTCCTGACAGTTCAACACCTATATACTTTATTACTCCAAAAGTGGGCTCCAGATCAGCAGCAGCCTCACCTAGGAACTTACTAAAAATTGGGCTGTCAGCCTGTACCCCAGACCATCAAAGTCAGTATTTAACAAGATCCACAAGTGATTTCAGTCACATTCAAGTTTGAGGGTTCCTGTTCTAGAATGTAAAAATTAGAAAAGATATTGAAAAACCTGCCCAAGAAAATTGGAGTCCAACCTGCTCATTTTAAGGATGTATAAACTGAGGCCCAGTGGAGCTGTCTTGCTCAAGGTCATGGTGCCTACCAGAATAGTGCTCTGACCAAATAGAAGAATTAGAGATTATAAGTAGAATTTCTAGTCCAATCCTCTTACTTCAAAGATGATGATTCTAAGACCCAAAGATCAGACACAACTTGCCTAAGGTCATATATCTAATTAATGGCAGAGCCAGGATTCCAATCCAGGTCTGTTGATCTCTCTATCCTACAACATGGGATACTTAATTTAAGCTGATACTATGGAATTGACTGGCATATTAACCTGCCACACATAAGGCATGCATCTATACTTAACTAGAGTTGCCCCTATCTCTATTGTACCCAAAACACAACCTCTACCCTTATTCTGGTTCAAAAGCATTTTCTTCTTATGGATTAAAGTTAACATTGACATTTCTAGAAGATTATTTCAAGTGGAATTTTTCTAAAAGTCATTTGCCTTATAGAAAAGTTGCTGTTTTTACATCAAACAAGACAGAAGCATTGAAGTAAATTCTTTCACTGTTAAGGAGCTTGCTGCAAGGATACATTATTAAATGAAAGAGACAAGTTGCTGGATTATATAGAATGTCATACCTTTTTAACAATATGAAATAAGTATGGAAGGAAATACAGAAAAAAAATAAATGTCTCAAACTACTTTTTTTTCCTGTGATAATTTCTAGGGACAATGGGATTGAATGGGCCTTTCCTTTATGATATCTGTGTTTCTTTTACTCTTTTAGTAGCTTATATGGGGCTGAAGAATGACCCCCAAAGAAACCCAGGTTCTATTCCTTAGAACCTGTGAATGTTACCTTATATGCCCCCCAAAAGTTTTTGTACATGTGATTAAATTAGAGATCTTTAGGTGGAGATTGTACTGGTAGCCCTGAATGCAATGTAATCACAAGTGTCTTTTTTTTTTTTTTTTTCTTTCCTGGTACTGGGAGATAGAACCCAGAGCCATGAAAATGTTAGGCACATGTTCTACCACTGAAATACTTCCCCAGCTCAACAAGCACTTTTTTTTGGGGGGGGGGGGGTTTGTGAAGAGGGGTTTACTGGGATTAAACCCATAAATGTTTAACCACTAAGCTGCATCCTCAGCCCTTTTATTTTTATTTTATTTTGAGACAGGATCTTGCAAAATTGCTTAGGGCCTTGCTAAGTTGCTGAGGCTGGCTTTGAACTTGTAATCCTTCTGCCTCAGCCTCCCAGTTTGCTGGGATTGCAGATGTGCACCACCACATCTGGCCAAAATGTTCTTATAAAAGGTAGCCAGAGGGAAATTTGAGACAGAAGAAGAGGCAATGTGACCACTGACACAAGACACTATGTTGCTGGCTTAGAAGATGAAGGAAGAGAGCATGAGCCAAGGAAGACAAGGAGTATTGCTCTAAAAGATGAAAAAGGCAAGCACACAGATTCTCCCATATAGTCCAGCAGCTCTGCTTTCCATGTACACTTAAAAGAATTGAAAGCAGGATTGCAAAAAGACGTTTGTACACTATGGTCCTACTAGCACTATTCACAAGAGTCAAAAGGTGCAAGCAACCCCATGTGTTCATCAGCCGATGAACAGATAAACAAAACGTGGTATATACATAGAATGGACTATGATTCAGCCTTAAAAGGGGAAGAAATTCTGACATGTGCCACAGCATGGATGAATCTAATGCTAAGGCACCCAAGGAAAAGTATTCTAAGATTCCTGTCATATAAGGTACTTAGAGCAGTCAAGTTTGTAGATCTTAAATTAGAATGGAAGTTGCTAGAGGGTGGAAGAACTGGGAATGACTGGGCAGCTTTTTTGTTTGTTTTTAACAGGTACAGAATTTCAGTCAGGGAAGGCATAAAGTTCCAGGAATGGATAGTGGTGATATTTCTATAATAATTCGAATACAATTAATGTCACTGAACTGTATTCTTAAAAATGGTTAAGAAAGTAAATCACATGTTTATGTAGTTTATCACAATTTTAAAAACAAAAGAAACTGGGTATGGTGGCCCCGTCCTAGAATCCCAGCTATTCCAGAGGCTGAGGGAGGAAGATCACAAGATCCAGGCCAACCTCAGCAATTTAGTGAGACTCTGTCTCAAAATAAATTTTAAGAAGAACTGGGGGTGTAGCTCAGTGGGAGCACATAACGATCATGTACAAGACCCTAGATTCAATCCCCAGTCTGGCCAAAAATAAAAAGAAAGAAAAGAAAAGAAAACAGATCTTCTGCAGCTTCCATAGGGAGTGTGTTCCTGTTGTTAAATATGAGTCACAAGAGGCTATTGTTTGGACAAAACTCCTACACGAGGCCCCAACAGAGCAGGCTTAAAATCGAAGTGGAGTCACACTAAAGTTCCACATCACTAAACTGAAACTAAGCTATTTATCTGACCTTCTGAGAAATCAGGATTAGAGAAGTAACAGGCAAATTTCCCAAACAGGCCCAAATTGGAATGATAATCAAGTTCCCTGTGCTTTAATCCTTACACAAAAGAAACAACCTGAAATAACCTGATGTTAACTGATCAGTTATTTTCCTAGTGTTCTTTTTCTCTGTCCCTGCCTTAGAAGGAAAGTAACTTTGAAATCGCCAATCTGGCCAGATGTGGTGGTACATTCACACCTGTAATCCTAGTACTCAGGCAGCTGAGGCAGGAGGGTCACCAGTTTGGAGATAGCCTCAGCAATTTAGCAAGACCCTGTCCCAATTTTTTCTTTCTTTCTTTCTTTCTTTCTTTCTTTCTTTCTTTCTTTCTTTCTTTTTCTTTTCTTTTCTTTTATTTTCCTTCTTTTTTGCTACAAGGGATTGAACTCAGGGGCACTCAACCACTGAGCCACATCTCCAGCCCTGTTTTGTATTTTATTTAGAGACAAGGTCTCCCTGAGTTGCTTAGCACCTCACTGTTGCTGAGACTGGCTTTGAACTTGTGATCCTCCTGCCTCAGCCTCCCAAGCTGCTGGGATTACAGGTGTGCGCCACCATGCCAGGCCCTGTCCCAAAAGATTTTTAAAAACGAAGTGATAAAGTACCCCTGGGTTTGATCCCCAGTATAAATAAGTAAGTTTTAAGTAGTTTTTGTGTGTATGTGGTTTCCCACATCCAAGATAACCTCCAATGAGCCCCACCTACTAGTATCCAAATACTTGTATCAATCCTTCCTACATTGTACTGTAGGCTGTTG